AAACTTCTTAATTTGCTGGAATTCTGCAAAACTGAAAGATATTTTTTCCTGACCTGTTAATCAAATTAATTATAAATCACCATAATTAAAATTAGGCAAATTTGTGCGCATAAAACATGTTTAAAACTTCTTAATTTGCTGGAATTCTGCAAAACTGAAAGATATTTTTTCCTGACCTGTTAATCAAATTAATTGTTGCACTAGAAAAATTCTGACGGATTTAATACTTTGAAGCTTTACAATATATATAATGAGAACAGACTTAAGAACATAAAATCTTATAATTGACCCTCAATGATCTTCTTTGATTATAAGTATTGTTTTAAAACAAAAAAATTGGTAAACATTTACCAGCAATTTATTGTCCTTGGAAGCTGTGACAAAAGTCAAACTGACAATGTATATTGGCAAGAGGATGAACATTCAGAATGTTCTCATTTTTTATGCCCCCGGGCATATAGTAATTGAACCGTCCGTCTGTCCGTCCGTCTGTCCGTACGAGGTTAACCTAGAACGGCAAATTGGATTTTCCTTAAGTTCTACCTGTACCAATGGCTTCATAATTTACACACTTACTAATCCATACAAAGTATATGATCTGGGCAAGTTACATAACTATGGCTTCCATTTGCACCAGGTTATGACCCTTTTAGCACTTAGAAAATGAATAATGGTTAACCTAAACCGGCAAGTTGGAAATATCTTATGTTCTATCTGAACTAATGGCTTAATAATTCTCACACTTACTTATCAATATAATGTACATGACATTGCCAAGTTATATAAATGTGCCATCCATTTTCCTAGTAATTTCCCTTTTCATCACTTTGAAAATAGGGCCTTGTATGGTTAACCTATTCAGCCAAGTTGGATTTATAAAAAAAATTCACCTAATTACTTAATTTATTTAATGGTATCTTTTATATTTGGTAGGTGGTTCTCTAATTTTTTGTGGTCAAGGTCACTTGTGCAAAAAAATACATCTTAACATTTCTGCTCATACAGCCTTTATTTCCAAGTTAACGTCTTTCATGTTTATAATAGTCATAACAAGGGAGGTCCTCTTCCTTTTCCTTTAGTAAGGGGTCATTTGGGTCAAGGTCATCAATGTCAAAAATAGATTTTTTACACTTTTACAGGTGTATTAACCTTATTCTATCGACAGATGTCTTGTATATTTTGTAAGAACATAAAATTGAGGTATTCTCATTTGGATGGAGGTAGGGGTCAGTTGTGTCAAGGTCACAAGTGCTAAAAATAGATTTTTTACACTTTTGCTCAATGCATACAACCTTTATTTATGAACAGATGTCTTTCATGGTATTCTTCATTATGATTGCCTAACTTGCATGGTATATTCCTTTGGATGGAGTTAGGGGTCAGTGAGTCAAGGTCAACAGTGCTAAAAATAGATTTTTACACTTTTGCCCATACAGCCTTTATATATTGACATATTTATTTCATATTTGGTAGGAAAATAAGTTGCATGATATTCTTCCTTTGGATAGAGTTAGGGGTCAGTTGGGTCAAGGTCAAGGTCACCAAAGGTAAAAATAGATTTTTTACACTTTTGCCCATACAGCCTTTATTTTAAATATTGTTACTGACAAGAATATGAGCCGGGGGCATTTGTGTTTAACAAACACATTCTTGTTTCTTATCTGTTGACTGACAAACAATACTAATAACCTGCAATTCATTTCTTCAAAACAGCAGTAAAGAAAGAACTCAATACCTGAGAACTGAAATGAGAATTTAAGTAATAGAAAGAGCATCGAAACACGAGGCTATCTGATTTATACGAGGGGGCGTAGCCCCCGAGTATAAATAAGATTGCCGAGTGTTTCGATGTTCTTTCTCTTTTGTATCATAGTCAAACATAAAAACACGTTCCCTGATGTCACAATATGAATCCCCGGAGAAAAGTAACCAATGAACGAGCATCTTAATAAGACATTTCTGTCGCTTTCCCTTTCTCTGCCGTCACAATATTATGTAAACCCCAGCAAAAATGAGCCAATCAATGGGCATGCTTTGGAGTAGGGGTAACTAATACCTGCACTCCAGTTAACGCACGGTGCATGTATATGTATACGATTTAACTCGACACATTTTCAACAGAAAGGTCCCCAAACTATGATACAAGCACATATAACGTTTGAATATACACAAAAAATCTCCCTCTTCTATATTATCTATTTATAGATCTTATATGATTTTTTACTCCCCAGTTAAACATAAATTGAAAGGTAGGTCTTCAACTGCAATATGTTGACTGACATATTCATATTGTAATTGAGAATGAGGGTATTTTTGAGAATTTTTGGATAGAATCAGCAGATTTGCCATGATTTCTAACCTGTTGTTGTTATTGCGATTTCTCATCTTCCCACCTCAACTTCTTGCGGCAGAACCAATAATTGTCTCACTATCACTATCCATGCTTAAGAATTCAAACTCAAAGTCAGACACTGAATTCATCCACCCAATTTTTTTGAATGACTCTAAACAAGTTAAGTCAAATCAGGCATTGTCGCAGACAATTAATGTCAAACTTATTATCAATTGAATCTGTACCAAAATGACCATCTCCAACTTTTCCAAAAGAAAGAAGAGCAGAATTCCCTTATTCTTTTGTAACGAATAACCTCGTTGTTTTTCTTCTAATTGCATGCACAGTTCATTCTTTTAACGCTGTTTTTAAAAATGTTTTTCTTCTGTATCAAAGGCTTTGTTTTCAGATTTTTATACAGCAGATGCCAAGTGCAGTGTGGCAGCTGTAAAACGTTGTCTTGTACTCACTTCAGTGTCGTTTTATTTTTTTCGTGTTATTGGGTCATCGATGACAGAACTATTAAGTGTTGAGAATTGAGTTCCACTCAAGCCGGTGTTAGCGGGCGTGAGTGATGTTTCACTTATTCATTATCCATAATGTACAGACTTATTCAAACAGTCTGCAATTTTCATTCAATTTTGTTGTGATAAATGCTTCCGAGGGATCACTTTGTTTCAAAAATTTTACGTCTTTCTCATCATCAATATCATCTCATCATCATCTTAAAATGCAAAATTTTGCCATTTCATGTTTAAATGTTGCCAGTTTACGGAGGTATATTTATATTGAAAATCAACAAAATTCTGCCGAAATTGTTGCGGTTTCCGGAGTTCGGGGTTTCCGATTTACAGAAGCTTTTTTGTACAAAGAAATAGAAGGAAAAGAATCGGGACCGTGAAAAATTGTCGGTTTGTAGATGATACCGGAATACAGAGTTTCCGGTTTAGGGAGTTTTTACTAAATAAACGTGACAGCTTGATAACAAAAGCTCAAATGACAAGTTGAATATGGTGCGTCAATAATCTAAAAATAAAGAGCAAATGAACGAAAAACAACAACACACAAAGTCACAGTTTACTCGAATTAATTAGTTTTTTTAGATTTAAAATTAATCAATATAGTTGTTTTGCTTTTTATTAGGCTGTGTTGATTTTAAGTAGCATGGACACAATGGCAATTTCATATGGCGATTTTCTAGCTTATTTGATGTAGGCTGACCTCATGTGCATCTTCGTGCAATAGTTCCGTCCAGGACTGATTCATGTATGAGTATAACAACTGATCATTCTGAAGCTAGCTGGAGAGCTTAAACACATGCAAAAAGTTATGATTGGATACAAAGCCACTGAGGTCAAGGACACATGATTTGAGGTGTCAGCCATAACCACTCTGACATTGGGCTAACGCTTAGTATTAATAAGGATGACGCTTTCTTTTTTATGCCCCCACAATGTAGGAGCATATAGCGTTGCACTTGTCCGTCCGTCCGTCAATCCGTCAGTCAGTCCGTCCGTCCGTACGTCCCGAAATCTTGTGAACGCAACTCCTCTTAAACCGGATGGCAGATTTTGCTTAAACTTACAGGGATGAACAACCTTAATGTGTAGATGGTAGTAAAGGAAGGAATTTTTGCTGCGACCAAATTTAACAGAATTATGACCCTTTGTTGATTTTTTCACTATATACTATGTAGAAATTTTGTGAACGCAACTCCTCTTAAACCGGATGGCAGATTTTGCTTAACTTTACAGGGATGAACAACCTTAAGGTGTAGATGGTAGTAAAGGAAGGAATTTTCGCTGCGACCAAATTTTACAGAATTATGGCCCTTTGTTGATTTTTTCACTATATACTATGTAGAAATTTTGTGAATACAACTCCTCTTAAACCAGATGGCAGATTTTGCTTAAACTTCCAGGGATGAAAAACCTTAATGTGTAGATGGCAGTAAGGGAAGGAATTTTAGCTCTAACCAAATTTAACAGAATTATGGCCCTTTGTTGATTTTTTCACTATATACTATGTAGAAATTTTGTGAACGCAACTCCTCTTAAACCGGATGGCAGATTTTGCTTTAACTTACAGGGATGAACAACCTTAAGGTGTAGATGGTAGTAAAGGAAGGAATTTTCGCTGCGACCAAATTTTATAGAATTATGGCCCTTTGTTGATTTTTTCATTATATACTATGTAGAAATTTTGAGAACGCAACTCCTCTTAAACCAGATGGCAGATTTTGCTTAAACTTCCATGGATTAACAACCTTAATGTGTTGATCGTAGTAAAGGAGGGAATTTTTGCTGCGACAAAATTTAACAGAATTATTGCCCTTTGTTGATTTTTAGTTTTCAACTTGTGGCACATGTAGTCCAAAAAATATTTGACCTAGAGTCATAAGATTGACAGAACAGTGGCCTGTGGGGGCATCAGTGTCCTAAGGACACATTTCTAGTTTAAGAAAATAATGCATAATTTTTAAGTTTTATTTAATGTTTTTGAATTTCTTTGTTCTGTGTACAGACTTGTTTTGATGAAATGTCATAATCTGATTTCAATTACATTTCAAACAACTGCTTTTCCCTTAAAAAAAGAAAGGTTAAACACTTAACATTAACTATGCTTGTTTCTAATCATGTTTAAATCTTCCACTGTGCGACAATTTCAGTAATGGCTCTGGGAAAAGAATTAGTTACTTACGAAATTTCCGGTAATCTTCGACTACAACATGAGGGGCTAGCGGTAGTTAAAGCAATACCTGGTGATTTTGGCATAAAAGTGATTGCTGCAGTTGGACCAGGGCGGATAGGGAAATCATCACTCTTGAATCAATTAAGCAGAAAAGGTATTTAGGGATAATGATTGTAACACACTGATGCTTTTCGGAGATGATTCAATTTCAATTTTGCCTTCAGTCAACAAATTTCTGACAAGCAATAAAACTTAAAAGTGTAAAATTATTTATTCAATCTTTTATTGTCTCGCTCTAATTAAATGAAAAAAGGACATAGCAGTAGCATTTGCATCTATATGTGACAGGAACAACAGGTGACTGTAATTTCTTTTTGATGTCTTTAACCCTGTACGTTTTAATAACGCCATTCTCCTTTATTAACTGTAATGTAAAACACATAAAAACAATGGGGTGGTCACACAAGTACTATCTTGTACGAACGTCCGTCCGTTTGTCATTTACTCACACTTCGTGTTATGTACGTCATTAAGACAATCATAAAGTGAGCCTGCAGGCACCTTATCACAAAACCCCTACGTAAGATTATACTTGGAGATCAAGGGATTTTAAATTCCTTGTCACAATAATTAGATTTGTCATGAGTAACACCCTGGTCCTACCTCCAAGGACACGGTCGCACCTAGAGATCAAAGTTTAACATGGTAATTTATATGGCCGTTTATGTCTTATCAACGCTTTTCATTTACTAGAAGGATTTGATATTAGTTTGAACAAAAATAGTCATATACATTTAGGCAATATGTTATGCGCAACACCCAGCTCAGTACAACCAAGGTCAAGAGCCCAATTACAAGTTAGAGCTTACCATATTCTGAACTTCCTTTTACAGTGAATAAATCTAAATATTAAAGACAGATTACAGGGAAACACATTTAAAATATGAAGAGAAAATAGCACGAGGGAGTGCACTACTTCTTTTTAACATTTTTAGCTCACCTGAGCTTGCTCAGGGTGAGCTTTTAGGATCGGTGAATGTCCGTCGTCCGTCGTACGTCCACAATTGCTTGTGAACACTCTAGCGGTTGCATTTTTGCCTCAATCATCATCAAACTTGGTCAGGATGCTTATCTAGTTGAAAGCTCGGATGAGTTCGAACATAGCTCATCTTGGATGAAAAACAAGGTCACAAGAGCTAAAAATAGAAAAACCTTGTGAACACTCTAGAGGTGACATTTTTGACCCAATCATCATCAAACTTGGTCAGGATGTTTGTCTAGGTGATAGCTCGGATGAGTTTGAACATGGGTCATCTCGGATGAAAAAGTAGGTCACAGGAGCTATAAATAGAAAAACCTTGTGAACACTAGTGGTCACATTTTTGAACCAATCATCATCAAACTTGGTCAGAATGCTTTTCTAGTCATTTGCTTGGATGAGTTCGAACATGGGTCATCTCGGATGAAAAACTAGGTCACCGAAGCTATAAATAGAAAAACCTTGTTAACACTCTAGCGGTCACATTTTGTATCAATCATCATCAAACTTGGTCAGGATGCTTATCTAGTTGATAGCTTGGATGAGTTCGAACATGGGTCATCTCGGATGAAAAACTAGGTCACCGGAGCTAAAAATGGAAAAACATTGTTAACACTCTAGCGGTCACATTTTTGCACAATCATCTTAAAACTGGTCAATATGCTTGTCTAGGTGATAGCTCGGATGAGTTCGAACATGGGTCATCTCGGATGAAAAAGTAGGTCACCGGAGCTAAAAAAAAGAAAAAACCTTGTTAACACTCTAGCGGTCACATTTTTGCATCAGTTATCATCAAACTTGGTCAAGATGTTTGTCTAGGTTATAGCTCGGATGAGTTTGAACATGGGTCATCTCGGATGAAAAACTAGGTCACCGGAGCTAAAAATAGAAAAACCTTGTTAACACTCTAGCGGTCACATTTTTGCATCAATCATCATCAATCTTGATCAAGATGCTTGTCTAGGTGATAGCTCGGATGAGTTCGAACATGGGTCATCTCGGATGAAAAACTAGGTCACAGGAGCTAAAAATAGAAAAACCTTGTTAACACTCTAGTGGTCACAATTTTGACTCAATTGTCATCAAACTTGGTCAGGAAACTTATCTAGGTCATTGCTGGGAATAAATCGAACATGGGACATCTCGGATGAAAAACTAGGTCACAGGAGCAAAAAGTAGAATAAATCTTGTTAACATTCTAGTGACTACTGTTGTCATCCAAATATTATGTTAATTGGTCTGAAAGATTGTTTTGATGATTTCTAAGTCAAGATCGAACATGGGTTATCTTGGATGAAAAACTAGGTCACACCGCCTAAATATGGAAAAACCTTGTCACATTTTCGACTCAATTATCATCAAACTTGGTCAGGATGCTTGTCTAGGTAATTGCTTGGATGAGTTCAAAATCGCATGTGAAACTAGGTCGCCGGAGCTAAAAATAGAAAAATCTTGTTAACACTCTAGTTGCTACTGTTTTGATCCAAGTATCCTGGAAATTGGTCTGAAAGTTTGTTTTGATGATTTCTAGGTCTAGTTTGAATATGTGTCACCTGGGTAAAAAACTAGGTCGCACTGCTCAAATATGGATAATCCTTGTTAACACTGTAGTGGTCACATTTTTGACTCACCTGTCATGAGACTTGGTCAGAATGCTTATCTAGGTAATTGTTTGGATGAGTTTGATAAGTCAGGTGAGCGATCTAGGGCCATCATGGCCCTCTTGTTTTATGAAATATCCCAGTCTGTACCTATTTTCAGTGATATACTCTCTATTACTAGTAAACTTGTCAACACATTTAATCTTAATTGTAAGGCAACTTGCAAGTATCAGGATATATGTATTTTAAACACTTATTTATATAAAAAGCGTTACTTTTGGTACAGGGTGATGCAAATTATTTGTAAATACCCTATTTGACAGTTCATTTAGCACAGATACTCACAGGATTTAGTCCAAAGTTATATTTAACTATAATTGTTTTAAATTTACTATACTTGAAATCAGTCTTACATTTAAACTGATTCTACTCACGGATTTATTCAGATCACAAATGGGCTACTTTCAAAATTATGGCTAGAAAAGTTGAAAAAATGTTAGAATTGAAAACTTCATGAAGTACAAAAATGTTTGTTTTCTTTCCAAGACCAACCATTACAGTGTACAAATTCAACTAGGTGTAAAGCTAAAAATGAATATTAAAATTCTTATCAAGATTTTATTAAGCTGTATAGGCAAAAAAGAACAACAATACATGATCTTTTTCAAAGTCTATTATTTTGCAAAAAAAAAAATTAAGCATAGCTTCAAAGCCTATTTTTCATAGCTGTAATGTTGTCATACTAAAAAAAAGTGTTAAAGAGCTCGATAAATATAAAATATTTTTCAAATTGGATTTTCTTTGCATTTTCCCCCATTGAAATTCAAATTTACAAAATGAAAGTTTTATTTGCTGATAAAATGGTGCATCATTATTATAAACATAGATCTATTCTTGGACTTTGGACAGTAACAAGCAACACAGTAAAATAAATGATGGCAGAAATAATGATTTTATTTCACAGGATCAGCATGAAAACATGAGCATTTTTGTAACAAATTGTTACACTCCTGACATGTATAGCTGCTTATCATTAACAAGATTCTAAAAACAAATGAACAATATCAATTAACTAAACTGTTTAAACATTGTAACTAATGGACATTTAAACATTCCTGAACAAATTTGAAAAAGATGTCTCCAATTTTAGACATACTTTTAAGAAAGTCACCCAAATCCGTACCATCACAAATGATTATGTATACTAGTGGCTCACAACATGAAGAAAAAATTAGTGTCTGTCATAATAAACAATAGAACACTGAAACAGTTCATATATGATCTCCTGAAATTGGTCTTATGACTAGATTGTATAATAAAATGTGTTACAAATATGTTCCATATACTGTTACACTCCTGACAAAAAGTGCATCTCAAGCTGTTAGCTGTTTTTCAAATTCAAGTTCTGTAATATCAAACATGATTTTTAACCCACGACCAGGCAATAATGTAGGATGTGATAATTTTCGTAATATGTCATCTGGAGACTGCCATGATATGTCGTCTGCCTTGGGCCATGTGTAGATCCCCCGAGAATTGGTGCTCTCTAAGAATCTAAGCTGAACATCCCCATCTACCTGCAAAACCTGTCAAAAAGAAGATCTTATAAAGATATGTTTTAAGATAGTTTATTCTATTTTTTTTTAATAAATCCAAACATTAATGAGAAAACTGTATTTTAATTATTTATGAAATTTGAACCAAATGTTAAATAAAAGATTTACCTTGGCTACATAAAGAAACTTTTTCTTTCTGCGTGAGGTCAGACCAACAGCTACATAATCATCTGGTACATATCTGAAGATAGCAAGTATGCTTTTTAATTAGAAGTTACTTTACCAATATAGTATTGTGGGTTTGATTTGAAAACTGTCATTTACAAATTGGATATTCAAAGATCACTTGAATTTATTTATATCTTAATTACATGTATGCATGATTACCTTTCTACTGGCTCTAGACTGACATAATGTTGGAGCTCTGGTAGATACCCGACAACCAATACTGAGGTGTGGCAAGTTCCCTCTCTAACATCTGGGTTATCTGCCTGTATGATCTGTATTGTGGATGACAAAACTTTACTTGTAACACTGATACACAGATGGTCAGCATATGTACCATTCATACCCATATTAGAAAGGTATGATTGCAGATCTGTGGTTAAGAAATGGCTAATTTCTGTTTTGTCTTCCTGAAATAAAACAATTATTTTATTAAGGATGTCCAGGATATTTAATTAATAGTTCATTATGCTAGTATGTTAGGTGCTATAATAATGTTAGTAGATATATGTTAATACTCATAGTATACAAAACTCAATGTATACTCAAGGTGTATTTTCATTATAACCTTAATGATAGTAGTATCACCTCTGAAAGATTCCTTATATGTTCAACCACACATTTTCTCAACTGACTGTGAGTCTTGCTGTTGCCCTGCACCCTGTCCAGTTGGTCAGAAACTGACCAAAAGAAACAGTTGCCATCCTCAGGAGTTTCACCGCGCATCTTCCAGCCTTTAACTGCAATTTTTGACTTGAAGTTGGCCATTATTTCATTGTGTCTGAGAGTGTCTTCCTCATGTGAAACAATGCTGGCCAATAATACATTATTTCCTGTGCTGTCCCCACCACCCAAGTCTCTACCACTTTCTACACATGCAAGAGGGTTAGCAGCACTACAAGCTGTTATGATAACATAAGGAAGCAAAAGCAGCTACTGTTTTTGTAAATATGAATATAATATAACAGGTATATTAAATGTATAAATTTAAAACTTTTTAAATTTGATGTTGTATGGTTTTATTTTTTTAAAAACTGTGTTACCTATTGTGTATGAACAATGTAAATATATTGATTATGCAAAGTGTTTAATAATAATTTTAAAAAGATTGTTTTAATGAGCAAATGTGATAAATTTTGTGCAATATCATTTATCTCTGTGATACAAGTTTTTGTCTAATATTTATATTATATACTCAAACTTTTAAAGAGGCAAAGAATGCAAGCAGCAAAGTTTTATAAAAGAGGCAAAGTATAACTATTTAGCAAGCAGGCAAAGCAAAGTGTATCATGCAATACATTTTTATGAAGGATACGCATGCCAACTGAAGTTATATCGTGAAGGCTCCTCTGCAAGATCTCCTTACCATCATTTAAGCGGAAGAATTTTTCTGAATGTCTACTGTGCATAGAAGCATGGACCTTGAACTTTGTGAACACAAACCTCACATGAGCAACTAAGATCACTGCACATTAGTATTCCACTCCCTGGCTTCCACTGTTTTATCATGTGGTATGATTGTGTACCCCGTATAGGTTTGGCTGAGCTTAATTTCTGTGGAGCTCTTGATCTGATCTTATTAGTTGGTACATATATGACATGCTGCTTGTTGTTTTCACTGGGATTTTGTTTCAGTGCCAGGTATGTTTGGTAGGCGTTATTTATCACTTTACCACCAAGTATAAGCCTCTCTAACCTTTTCTTTATACCTGCACCAAGGCCATCACTAGGACCTTTTCCATGGCCACTTTCTGTAAAATGGTAGACAATGTCAATGGTATGCTATTTTCCAACTGTAGAAGATGTTCAAATGCAGACTTACATTTGTATTGTGCAGCACAATTGTCGGTAAATCGATGGAGTACTTTGACTGGCTCAGGACCTGGATTGTTCTGTATGTGTAATAAAAGTTGTTCAGTAAATGTAAAAACTGCATCTGCATTATGTGTCAGATGATCTGAAATTATAATCAATGATTCTTTCTGTATGACTGGATTGTCCTCAGTACTTTCAGGAGAATGGCGAACTATGAATATCGGATGAAGAGTCACCTGCTTTCCGAGTCCAATGAGCCGACTCTATCTCATCTTGTGGTTGAAGAGTGATGTTCTCGGAAAAGTCCATCACTACAAGACAGTGGCTTCTTTGTAGATCAGCAATGATTTCAGATTCAACTCTGTGTTGATAATCAACCCTAAATATATGACTAGTAAATGTTGACATTGTGTTTGCAACATTGTTTACAACCTGTTCTATTGTCTCTTTCTTTTCTGCTTGAACCCAACGCAATGTGGTTTTCGTTTGACCTTCTCTGTCAATATATATTTCAGGAGTTTGTTCCCACTGATGAACATTTATTGTCTGGCTACCTGATCTTAATAATAACGGCTCATATATTGTCTGTATAACATCAGTACCGCAGTTTGAACATTCTCTGTCAACACATTTTCGTCCTGGTATTTTATCATAGTGACATACTGAGGAGTCAGATAGCTCTCTATATGTGGTCTGCAAACCATTCTGTGAGTTTGTCTGGGCTGCCTTGTTCAGTGCATTTATCTGCTGATCTAAATTGTAATCTTTCATGCAAACACATACTCTGCGACATGAAAGGTTGAGACATTTGTAATTTTTTGGCATCATGCGCAGGAATGTGTTAATCTTTCTTGTAAAGGTTGGGTATTGCAACTTAAATTTTCTAAACAGCTTTAGTTTGGAACACAGCAAGTGGCGCTTTGGAACTGGATTGCCATTAATCAATATGGTATCTTTTTTATTTGGCATCACCCTAGAATTTGTCTCAAGAAAATGGGTCAACCTATCTTTCCATGCTGTTTTGAATGCTAGGGGTTTTGTCATTTTTCTGTTTTGCTGGGCCTCTTTTCTTCTTTTGTATCTGCTAAGTTGCCATTTCTTCTTGCCCACTAGACCATGTTTTGTACTAGAAAATGCCAACTTCTTTTTCACCTTACTGTTCACAGCTGTTGGTCGACCAACTCTATTAAGGTCAAGGGTTTCTTCTACATCGTGGCTTTCATTCATTACATCAGTTTGTTTACCCTGTAGGTGTGAGAGTCTTTTTGGAGTTGCATTTTTTACAATGTGCTTTATTGTGCTAGCCCATGCTTTTGGACTTTCTGGAAGTCTTCTCCTTACCCTTTCAGGAGTTTTTCTTATACTGTTAAGTATCCTCTGTTTTCCAGTTGACCGCTTTGGCTCTGGTTGGTTTTCTCTTTTGTCTCTAGCTGCTTAGCGTTTTCGGCTTTTTCTTTTCCATTCATTCTGTTTCGCTTTCAATTTCTGGTCTAGTGCAGGGTCTGTCATTCTATCTTGTCGAACACATTCTTTGTAACGTCTGTTTTCTTCTTTCTTTTTAAGTTTCATTTTTTCTAGCTTAGAGCTGTCATTTTTCAAATTTTCTCTGAACTTTCTTACTCTTTCTTTTGATGAAGATGCCTTATTCTGCTCTGTATTTGATCTTTTTATATTTTTTATTGACCTTCTTATAGCTGAAAGACTGACTATTAATTTGTTCATGCTTATTTTACTATTCTGTAGAAAAGGAATAATACCATTTTTGGTCAGGAGTGTAACAAATACACATACATGTTAATAAGTTGATAGCAACACAACCTGCCCTATTCTATATTTATTTTTACATATAAATGGTTATTGCTAACTCTATTTAAGCATAAATGTAAAAAACAAAACTTGGTTACTTGAAATAAAAAAAGCATTTATCTTGATTTAAATGTAAAAATTCGATCTTTCTAGACAAAAATTAAAAGTTTAAATAATTCTTTACTTACCTTATATGCACCAGATAGAATATTTATTTCCAGAACTGCACTATAAGTCAAAAACACTGCACAGCAAAACAATAATGCATTCGAAAAAAATGGATAAAAGAATACGCGGAAATTTCACCAAAATATGTTACACTCCTGACAATTGCATGTCATCTATGCACGCAATATATAACCATGATCTTCACTCATGATTGTCACTTATGATCACTCCCAGTCTCAGACTTCCAGGAAAAATACATTATATGTATATGTGTCAACTTATGACATCACTGTTACTATTTATATACCAAATGTTACACTCCTGACAAAATTAATTCAGTTTATTTAGATGAGGAAAAACTATAGAAATAGTAGTAATTTATCAAAAGTATTTTACCTATCTGTTGTCATGATATATATATTATAATTTTGAATATCAAAAACTGAAAATTTTATAAGCGCTATTAAAAGTGTACACCAAAACAGAATTTTTTTTTAAAAAATATGTGAAAAATATTTTAGTCCCTTATTTATAAAAAAACTTATTTTTTATGTTCTGATAAGTAATTCATTATTAAGTTATATACTTACTTAAAGGACATATATTTTACTTTATCAGCATTGTCAATGTTTTTCTTAGAAGTGTTTTGAAAATGGCGAATTTTGCAAAGTATCACGCTATTTTGTTACACTCCTGACATTTTTGGCCTGTTTTTTCAGCATAACTTTTTTATATCTGAAGCAAAGTCCACAAAACTTCACACACTTCTTAATAACATAGCTTTACATGTTTGGAGAGAAAAAACAGTTATAATAGACTGTTGAATACTTCTTTTATCTAAAGAAAACCTCTACTAGCCATTATTTTGAAAATAGCCCAAATATCATTTAAGATTCATTTGGTGTGGGATCCACAACAAGAAGGGTTACAAAAGGAATATGGATAGACGTGATACTGGATTATGCAACGAGAATTGCAACCGTTTTCATTGACGTTGAGGGATTTGGTGATCCTGATAGGGTATCTATGTTACATGTTACATTATTCCCCAATACATGTTATCGTAAACTACATTCTTCTTTGTTCTAACAAATACTGTAAAGATTAAGTAAAAAATGCTTTTTTAATAGAAAAAAATTAGTGTGTGTTGATTTCATATGATCTTAATTTACTGTGTTTTATTATATGGGTTACGTGAACTGATGAGAAGACAGGATACATACTTTCAGAATGTAATTTACGCAAAACTATGATATTATCTTTAAATCTTGTTATGATTCGGATTATTGCACAAAAACAGCAACATCTTAAAGTTGCCAAAAGCATGAATCACTTTCATTCAATATTATTTATCAATATCTTAACATTTTATTCCTTTCTTCATCATGGAAGGTATTGCATCGGTGCTAATATAAAGCACTGGACAACAACGCTGTAAGTAGGGAAACTAGAATCAGCTTGTCCGTCCGTCCAGCCGTCTATAAAATTATGTTTTAGGGCATTATAAAAACAGTTGGTGAGGCATGTTCTTGAAATTTCATCAAATGTTAGATAGAATGTGTGGCAATATCTATCTTTGAAGCATTACTTTTTAAATCGTCGAGGCATGACGCAAAAGTCAATTCCTTCGGCTAAAACCATCCTTCAGTAACCAAACAAAACATTTTTTTTTGTTTTATATCATTTGCTGAATATTACTGTGTATTGTTATGTAGTTTATATTTTGCCGGTTTTGGGCATGTCCACTAACTTACAAAACTAAACCGATAAAGGAATAATTAGAATCACAATAACTTTGCTGAGGTTTCAAAATTTATCTTCGAAAAGACAGACGTGTTCTTTTGTATGTCTGCAATACTCGTTGAAACATCTGTCAGGTACGTGTCTAGGATCTAATTGGCTCATTTCCATTGTCATTTACTTTTTTTTTCCATAATATTTTAAGCCAATTATAGCATTCGGCACGATATGGCCAGTTATGTGTTGACGTGCCGTAAAAATCCAAACAAACAAACAAAAACAAAGGTACGTGTCCGATTGACAAAACTATGATTGCCGGAAGCGCCAATTTCAAAATCGCAAGAAATTTTACCGTCAGTTTATAAAATGTCGCGATAACTTTTAAATCCCTATATTTTATTTCGAAATTGTCTTAAGTGTTGCGGCTTATAGGAACTTTTGAGATTTTTCTGTCACACTTCTGTCGTACAAAAATCGAGTTTAAGGGAGTTAACTGCGACATTTTCAGTCCACATAGTAGACAAAGCCACGCAACATATGCCTGCTTTAAGGTCGATTACGCCATTATCATCCGCGGTAATTTGTTTTGAAAAATACCTTTAAAAATCAAGTTTAAGCATTCAGTCTCGACAAGGAAATGTCACTGCAAAAAGAGTTGCGGCTGAAAATTGCTGTTATTCGCCGCGATATTTTTGTTAGCGTTGTTTAGGAACAAAAGGTAGCAGCCTATAATTTTTCCCATAGTTTTTTTTTTCTGTTTTTTTTTTTCTGTTTTTTTTTTTTTGACATTCTACAACATTTGAAAACAAAAAGTTGCAGATTATTTCTGTTTCTTGTCCTTTTATGGTCAAACTACGAGTAATAAAATGCAAAAGTCAAGCCATGGTCGGTACCGGCCACTGGAGTCAAAATGATCCTTGCTGTTTCCAACAACTGTTATGACATATCGAGATTTATACTTTCCCCGCGACATTGTGTACGTTTTTGGCAGAAATTCTCGCGGGCTTATAAGTTGCCCCCGACATTTTATGATAAAACGATAAAATTTTCTCTCGGGTTTGAATGGTCAAAATAGGCCACCATACAAAATCTTTTCAAACTAATCCTTTTTTGGTAGTGACAATGGATTCAGTTATCACAAAACGACTTAGTTATAAGTACAAGTTGAACATTCTTATGGGTTTCTGTTTTTCATTCGGTTTCATTCAATGAAATACTAATTAATATTTTTTGAAAATCATTAGGTGATCTTCTGGCAAGTTGCATCTTTTCAAAGACATACATGATAATATCCGACATCTGTACTTTCAAACGAATGGACCATCATAAAATCTTGAATGCAGGAGGTGCAGTGTTTGAAAATCATAACTCTTTATTTTTCTTTATACTTCTTTTTCTGTTGAGAGCATATCATAAATAGTGAATACGATACATGAAATGTTAACGGACGGTATGCGATTGATGTTATATTTGACAAGGCATGCTTGATTTAGACTTAAGTTGTCATTGTACATTATTGATTTATTGGACATTTTCTAGGATGATGCCAGTGCTAGTGACTCTCGTCTGATGTTTATTGTATGTCAAATGTGTGATGTTGTTATTTACAATACAAAAGGAGTGTATGACACCGATTTAGTAAGAAAACTAGAGTATCCTTTTGGTTACAAATACTTGATGGTTTGAATTGTTCCCGTTATCTGATCAAGTACTGAAATAAATCACTTAAAATCAATTTAATCTGGAAAAAAGAAGCTTACCTACATGTAAGTATAACATTTTCCACTTTTATTTTCAACTTGCTATCTAATTCCTTTCGTATAATCATAATTCAGAATAAATAAAATACAAAGTTGAAGCTATCATTATATTCATCGAACGGATGTTATTCACGTTAACAATTGTGTTCTTTTAAGGAAAAAAGAAACCGGATGTTAATTACAGCATTAAGAGTGTATCAAGCAATTGATTTACTCACTGACATTTATCACGTCGCGCGCAAGAAATGATGATATTTAAGTAAGCATAGTCTAAGAGGTAATTCAAATATGAAGTCATGTCTGAATTGTTCTAGTGTGGGCAATTCGACTAACTTATTTGTAAAAATCGTAAGACTCTTTTTAAACAGTTAAACCAATTTTGACTCATGGAGATTGTTTTCGGTGTCATTATGTCCAAAAGTAAGAAGTGATAATTGCTTATCAATATTTGATTGAAATCTTTAATAATTATTGATTTGTCAAGTACAAGACAATTAGTTTCTGTTACGGAGTAGGTATTTGAAGGTCGTGAAATGTCAAAATTTTACTTTACATAATTTCATATAAACCTTTTACTACACTCTGAAAGCTTAATTAAAGCGTGTATGCCCGCCGATAGAATCAGTTATTGAATATTGTTGAGTCGTTTTCCGTCTATCTGTCATACCGTTCGAATATCTTTCTGAGAACATACAATAGTAGGAACTGATGATACAATGTATACATACAGTGTAACCTTCGTTTCCGCGCGATACCTCAGCAACTACTAAATGGATTTTAATGAATGATAATTGGATTTTTAACTAACAAAATGCGCGAGGATAAACAAGTCCTGGTCGGACAATTTAACACATAGTTATGACCCGGATTATTTTTGCGGAATATATACAGATTTTGCCGCGCTATTTCCTTTATTAACTGCTTTTTAGCGTGTTATCGCTCATTGCACCGCAGTTTTATTTCTAAGATCTCGCTCCTCGCCCCCGCGGGGCGACGCTTAAAGTATTAAATTTCGCCCCGTGCCCTAGGTAATTAGCGTGTTTTCGCTCCGCGCCCCAACATTCTAATTTGTTAATTCTCGACTTTTAGATTGGCGGGGTCGCGGGGCGAAAACACGAATGGTACAAATCAGCCACCATACTCACTATACAAGATTACATTTCTTACCATTTTATAGTCACATCAGCGTTGTTTGCAAGATAAAGATTTGATTTGATTGAATACTTCTTGCAATACCATTAATTTTCCTATACAATGACATACTTGTGTGTCATATGTTCAAAAGATACAGGAAACATCATGAAGTGTTTTCCACGCCTATGCTATTAGTTTGTCATCGGGATTTCGACCTAGATATTCCTCAAAATCCTGAAGCAGAGCTAAGGGTTCTCTTAGGACAGGAAAATGCCGAATGTTTCCGTTCTATCATGGCTTTCTTTTTTGAGAGACCAACTGTGCGGGCCAAGCTACGAAACCTTCGAACAATGCGAGATGAAGACCTAGATCAAGAATATATTCGAAGTAGACAGCAATTAGAAATGTACTTGAAAAAAGAGACAAAACCCTTATGTACATACAATGGTGGTCGGATAACAGCAAATGGTAAAACCTAATGTCATGTTTATATTTAATGGGCACAAGTGAGCACTATAAAACTGTAAAAATGACAACATAAGACGTTCATATGTCTTAAAGGTCACCTGTATGCAACGTTAAACAAAAATAATTGTGTGCTTTATGACTATTTTTGACATTTTTATTAAACTAAAAACTTTGCTTTTAGAGGGATCTTTTTAGAAATGAGGAAACTCTTAAAAATCTATAAAAAAAAATTATCACAATGAAAAATGTTTTCCTATTGCGCATTGTTGATAAACAAATAATAACATTCAGCAAACAAATTACACGAGCACAATGATTGTTTCGCAACAAAATGTGTTTGATATGTACAAACAAATGTTACCCTACTCCACCCCTTCAAGCATCAATTTTATCATGTTTTTATGTAAAAGCCTGATTCAATATATCCTTAAAATTTACAACAATGATGGGCTGTTTTTTTTTTCCTTCGAATTTTGCTACCGTGAAGTTTTTATTTAATTAAACCTTGAAAATAAATTTGGCATTTTTTTCTTTCCAGAAGGGATCTTAGAGAAACATTGATATTGTTAACAAGAAAAGAAACAAAAAGAAAAAAGTTGCCGCTTCTGGGATTTGAACCAATTGCAACGCCTCTTAGTTTCAATGAAGTTGACAGTGAGTCTGGCCTTTTTGTATACTCTTTAAAGTGGAGGTAATGCATTAGGGGTGGTGTACCTTAACAGTCATAATTATACTTCAGTTAAAGAATGAACGCAGCCTTTCATCTCGACAAAAAAGTTCAATTTATAAGCTATTAGATTTTTTATGTAAGAAACCTTTTCTACACGATGGTTGTTCACAGTATAAATTTTTTATTGAAAGTCTAAAATGATTATTTCTAAACTGTACGTGTAATTCGTAAAATTGTAATTTGTATGACAGCAACATATTCGCTGACTTTTCACAACTGCTTTCTAATATCAATGAACACAAGATACAAATTAACGATTGAATCAAATATTAACATGTTATTATGATGTTATTCATATGATTACCATTTATATACTGGTTCTGAGCTGACATGTTCATATTCTTAAATAATCATGTAGGATAAAATCCATTTTCTTTATAAAAATATAACATCCTTTTTATAGTGTTTGTTGAAGCCATTCGCAAGATATTTAATGCTGTTATTGAGGATAATTTGGAGGGGATATCTAAAAATTTGGTTGGTCTACTGCGGGAACAGAATGATGTTATGATAAAAGAAGCAGTAAATCAATACACACAAGAAATGAAACACAAATGGCCGAGCTATTCAAAAGCAGAGTCTGTCCACAAAGAAATACAAGTTTCCTTAAAGGCTGAACTAAAGGAAAGACTGTATGACATTGAAGGACAAAAGAACTCATTATTGTATCTGTTTGAGGTAGGTTCTACGTTTCCCTATGATCAACATTGTAACGAAAGCCATCTTAAAACCAATATTGCAAGCATTGACTGCAAATCATTTTGAATCTTTAGGGTTCATTTAAATTGCTACTTTTCAAAAATATTTACGCACTGTGTTTATATCATTATCAGAAATATAAATCACCAGAATGCGTGAAGCCAATAACAAAGTAACATGATGAGCGATTTCTGCGTTTCTAATCAGGCTGCTTTTTTTTTCTTTTCTTTTTTTTGTTTAAGAAATATATCACATAAAAATACAATATGAAAAATGCTATGGTATCGTGCATTTACTTAAATGTGAACGCGATGTTTAATATATACCATATAAAAGTCACACTAGAGGTTTGCTGATTTTTGTTCGAAAGCAAACACGTTATTCTGAAATATCAAGTTTTACCCCGAGAGTGACATAGTGTAAATATACCGCTTATATGATTGTAACCGCCAGTTTACTCATATGAATTGCATGCCGTGTCTGAGACAAGATGAAACATATTTTAGGGTTTTAGGAACTGAATAATTAACTAAACATATCCCATGTGACTAAAACATTTCGGATGTAATTGATAGACAAGTATTCGATATTTGAATTTATCACATAACTCGCGGTGCAGGAGTGTAATAAAGCCATTTCATAAAAAATGATATTACACTAGACGATATTACATTAGTGTAATAACACTTTGACGTGACGTCATTTGCGCTATAAACATAGCGTTAAAGCACGCTAATGTTAGCGTTACACTATAGACGCGTCAAAGAAAAACACTTTTGTTAACAGTTTATCGTTCTTATTTTATAAATGTGATAAAAGAATATTATATTCGTGTATATTCAATACTAAATTTATTGAACTCGTTGAATGAAACAATATAATGCTCGCCAGAGGCTCGCATAATATGATTATATTCAACTCGTTCAATAAATTTAGTATTAAACCTACACCCACTCAATATCCTCTATATATTTACATTTCAACCCTATTTACTTTATCCAGGTAAAAACAGAACGTGCTTTTCAAAGCATTTCTGAGGAAAAAGCAAATGATCAACTTTTGAAACTGAATTCAACAATTGAGTCAAACTACACTAACAGGTCCTATTTTGTAATAGGCGGTTCCGATAGGTTTCGAGCTGACATGGATTCTCTTGAGGACAGATACAGGCAGTGTGTTAATCTAGGTCCAAAAGTGAGTTTTAACTGTTTTATGCAAGTTTACACTTTAGATTATCACTGTTTTGGTACATTTTTTTCTTTTAGTTACATGTGTTAAATTTGATTTTGTAATATACTTGTTAATTGTTCATCTATTAATCTAATGTATGAGTTGTTGTCAGTAAATGTTAATAAACAGCACTCCAAACTATTATAATTATATAATAATTACGTGAAAAATACATATCTAATACATGTAATAAGCTATGTAACTTCTTACTAACAAATAAACGGACAACGCATAATAAAACTATATTTTAGGCAATTATAGTGTGGGAGAATTATAAAGAAACACTTTTGAATAAAAGACAAACGATACAGACCAAGGAAAATATCTTGCATCAAGAGATGGAAAGTACAAGACGCCGTGAGCAAGCAAGAAAAGAAAGAGAGAGAATAATTGCTGAGAGGAATCGACAGGCAGAAAGGCGTGAAGAAATGAATAGGAGGCAGGAATATGAGCAACGTCGGAGGAATGAAGAGATGAATGAAAATGCAATGAGTACGAAAATATCAATAAATTAATATAAATATGTTACATTATATACTTAATGCAATAAGATTTTGATCGGAGACACACATCCGGCTGTTCTAAGTCCATAAATAAGCTTCTTTTATTTCTTCAACATGTGAATCGTGATCAAGTTTTAACTTTCGGAACAATTAAAGCCGTAGTTTATTGAAACGACAATTTATCTCATATTTGCTTTGTTGCTATAAATTATTTCATTCTTATTTTTCGACTTTCTAGTACTTCTTGTTACCTAAACGTTATATTTCATAAGGATTTCACTCAGATCACATTTTAATGACACGAAATTGGGCTATTACATTTATGTCTATAACATTTCAAAAGTACCATAAAATTAGTCTAATTGATTTTCATTTTATACTATAGATATTGTAGCAGGTATTGCAGAGATTGGATTGAGGGTAAGAATTTCTTAAATTATTGTTTTAGTTTGCTATCTTATAAATAATAAAATATATTTTTGCCTGATAATATCAAATTGTTCCTTTCTAAATGTTCATCTCATATTTCTGTTTTTTTTTAAGATTAAGAATATCTCGGATTAATAACTGTCAATTTTTTTATGTTGCAAAAATTAAAAAAGAAAAGAAATATGCAAAGTTTTAAAAGTCTTTCATTAATTCATACACAAATGTCCTACATGTATGAATTATATCAATGTTTTGAAAATTAAATATTTATCGGGCTTATGTTTATAAAATCCGACGAACGGAAAACCATTTCTATATTTGAAAGCAATTGCAAATTTATGAAGTCTTATTAATTAAAATGTATTTCTTTCTATTGCAGCTGTTGTTTAATAGTCTTACCAGATGAAGAGCCTTTGTTTTAGTCTACTTAAAATTCTATCACTATTCATAGAAGTTTTGTTTGCGAAGGAAATATCAAATTTCATCATACCGCATACTTTTCATACAGTTATATTCCCGTACATTATATACAATTTGAACTTATTTTGCTCTATGTTTTCTGTAGCAAATATTTTATCATTGCTTTCTACGATTAACATTGCGTAAAACAAAACTAGGGTTTTTATTCATTAACTTCTATATTTGACCCGGTACGTTTGTTCAAGTTATCCTTCATCGTAGACACAGAAATAAAAGAGAAAAAGAAAGACAAAAAAAAAACAACGTTAAATCGTTAAATATCCCCATAAAAGACATTAAGACTTTTTGTTTTCACTCGTAGGATATTGTGTCTTTGCATAATTTCATAGTATTTGCATGTTAAATAAAGTTAAATTGACAAATATGAGGAACCACTAGTTATTTATAAGGACCATTTTGGTGAAAAATGAACAAAATAAGCACGTAATGTGTAACAAAACATAATTATTGGATAAGTGAATCACGCTTAATTAAGTTTGTTCCGGCAGAAGTATGTGGCTCTTCATTTGCTACCCTGAGTGTTTTGTTCAGTTTGATTATACTAATATAAAATCCGATTTGTTTGTTTGCACGTCTCAAATCATGTTTTCTAACTATTTATTTGCTTATTATGAAACATATTAATAGTTTGAGTAGGACATAGATTGTGCTTGTTTTCAACACTTCTTACCTATATGTTAAACAACAATAAGATGGCAAGGCAGGCGTATAAGCTTGTTTCTGTCCCTAATTTCCATTATGTTGCTTCGTAAAAAAGATATGTTTGTTATTGCTTCCAATATTATGCTACAAATGAAGTGCGTGGAAAGTATACTAAAATATAATATTTAGTTTGATTGTATAAAGCATGTGAATAAAACACTATGGGAAATGATAAAAGTGAGCGTGTGTTCTTTCATTAGCCTGACTGTGTGATGTGTGTTTTTATACTGTTCTAAATAACACTGTAGGTGCATACGATATATCTATTACCCACCTGAACTATTTGATATGCTGATTAATATGTTGGATCCAAAAAAATATATGTTTGTACATTACTCTTAATGCATCTACCTAACAAAATTAAACATTAAAAGAAAATGAAATTAACATATAATTGTTGTATGTGTGAATCATTACTTTGTACAGTTTTGTATTATATTACAGTGTAAGTTAAGGAGTCATATTGGCTTTGTGTTTTCTTTTTCTACAACATTTACTCTATTAATCATATTTGTAATATCATCATATTGAATAAATGCTTGATGTGTAGGTTGTTTATTCATCATTTGCAAAAGTGCGTTATCTTTAACCAAGAATTCAATTCAAAACATTAGGCATTCTACCGATGTTATTTCGGAATTATACAGTAGCTATAGATTGGCTTAGAAAAAAATCTGTATCCCATCAATGACATATAGTTCAAGAAATCAGTGAAATAATTGCGCACCCTCTGTGATAAGCATTAAACTTGGCATGGTAACAGGATATTGTATTTCATTTTATTTCTGCCTGGGATCCAATTTTTAAAATCCAAGATGGCCGCCGAAATCAAAGATGGCCGCCAAAATGTACAATGTATGTGGGAATGACAAAAAGGGAGTTATGTATGGCCATTTGAATGAAAAATTACAATGTAGGACAAAAATGGCAATTTCTTGGAATAATGTTTAAGTAACATAGGTAGAAAATTCACTTTGGTTTCAAAATCCAAGATGGTCACCATCAAATGATGTTTTTCGAGCAAATTTGCATGATAAAGATAATTCATATGAACAATACTCTTCATAGATATGACACACTCATAGACTTTTATTCCTGCAATAAGTAACTTCGAAAACAGGTGTACATTTACGGAGAAAAAATATGGATAAAACCATGCAAGCGTGTTATGTAGCTCGACATTTCGAATAATAGGTGTGATATTGTACTCACAAGGCGTCGGCGTCACGCGTGGGTTGACGTTTTGCGTGTAAGTTGTTTTCGCCAAAATAACATAAGGGAATGGGATGAAACCTCATACACTTATTTAAGAGCATAATAGAAGGTCACTGGTCAAGACCAACACCTGTTTCATGGATTTGGACAGAATAATGACCCTTTTAAATATATAGAAAATTCTTTATGGTCCTGGTTCTTTTATAACTATCCAGAACAACGCTGTGATGTTCTACCGACAGCCCTTGTAAGTATGCGTGATTCTTATAACATGCGGCCACTGATTACAATGACGGCCCCCATTTATCGTATTACCAAAACATAACACACATTTGCGTAAAAATCAATACGGACCGGTTGCCCAATATGAAAAACAAGTAACGAATAGCAGAATCACTGAATCAGTCGTAAACTTTTATACAAGAATACCTGTAATATCATGTTTCTGTAAATATTATTAGTTTGTAGCATCCCTGTAACAGTCTAACTGCAACTGCAAATTCATTTTTCATTGGTAATTTTAATAGCATAGTTTGTGTCATATTTAACGGAATCAGGCTGTAATTGTGAAATTATTCTGACAAGGTCTTGAGAAAACATGTATTAAGAAAGTCAAAAATAAAGGAACTTAAAGTTTTTAAACTTTTATTTCTTTGGCTTTTAATGTGACTTTAGTCTGCACCTAGTATTTGACATTTTTAGCATTAATCATTCCTGATTTAGTATTAAATAAGATCAAATTAAGACTTTATAGCTATTATATTCGATGATTTTCCATCTGAGCATTTCGGGTTTGCGTTCATTGAGCGATCCTCATCATTGTTAATGTCTTCATATTCATATTTCACTGCAGTTGAAAAGCCTGACACAAGCATATGTTTTTCCTTTTATTACAATGGTTACTTTCTCATTTATTTGGGCTTCAAAAAAAAACAATTAAAAAACTTGAGCTAATTGTAGATCTCAATACTGTTGCTGTTTACTTAGATTACATAATTTTGATTCGTTTACTTCTAGCTGCATCTGTCTTAAAGGTACAAAAAAGAATTTGTGAAATCATGCCTACTTAAGCTATATTGATGAGGTGTTTTATTGTTTGTTGAAAGTCGATGTTATATGTTATTTGTTCAACTCTTTTTTTGTTTTCATGTTAACATTTTCTTCTTTAAACTGCTAGCAACACACTATTAATAAAAGAAACTTTTAAAATTTTGTAATTTTTTACTCTGAATCAGTACATAAACTAGTCCAAGTGGATTAGGGTTACGTTTCTTTTATTTTATTACTCTCATAGCATGGAATTCTATAAATAATTATATAAAGTTTCTTTTTTATTAATACGAATTCACAAAACTCATTCCTTGAACTTTGCACAATGACCCAACAGTAGGTCAGCTACATAGAACATTGAAATAAGGCACTGCTTACTTTAATTGTGAAATACCATTTTATTCTGAAAAGTTTAAAATGTCGGCCATCTTGGAAATTGTTGGCCATTCGCACAACCCGCATCCCATCATCACATGTAATAGAGGTGCAAAAGTTGTCCTATTTAGTGGCTATAGTTATGAATGTTGCAACAGTTTATGAATAATAAATCTATAAATAAGAGGAGCTAAAAAAATAGAACTTGTTAAATTAAGACAAATAAATAAGAAGTATTTTTCTTTCTGCGTATATAAAACCTAGACTGGCCGAAATAGTTTGTTCATTAGCATAACTTTAAAAGATTGTAACAAATATTCGCACATCAAGCTTGTAATCAATCTTATTTATATTTTAATTTCCGAATCTCATTTGCTTTATTTGACTGGCATAATTTCAGTCTGTAAAGCATACATCATATGAACTATACCGAATGTAAATGATATCTTTTACAATTAAAAGGACTGTTTACTATGAGTTCTATCATTCTAAAAGTGAAACAGATATTAACCTTCACCCATGACATGTCAAAGGGACACAATGTCATTCACATTGAAAATACATTCATTGATAGAGTTAGTTATATATTATGAATGCGTTCATAAACAAACGTTAAACGTAAAGTTATACACCTAGCTAACAATGAAACAAATCAAAGTTTCGTCTCACTATAATTTAAATACTATGACAGATCGGAATTGTATAAACCAAACAGGTTCATGCTTTTTAATTTAAACAAGGATCTGACTCTTCTATACACAAACTGTATATCCAAAGAAAATTTGTTTTTCGGAACATTTAACCCGTATGTAGCTGGATAAGGAATTTCAAACATTTTAAATAACAATGCATACTTGTATGTACAGCTTAATTGTCAAACGAAGAAAAAACAATTCATCAATTTTCATAGAATTTCAATAATAAAAATCATGACAAAAATATGTCGTGAAAAAAAATAAATCTGGTCAAAAAGTTATCCTCGGAAGCATTACCAAATCAAAATTACATTAATATTGCAGACTCGGTCTGTCCATGAGTAATAATGAAACAGTGCAAAATCGTTCACGCTCACTACCGACGGCTTGAGCATTATTGTTGAAATCAATGATCCCTAAGGACCAGAGAAATATAACAACGCTAATGTGAAATTCGGGACAACTTTTTATAGCTGCCACCACAGCACTTGATACCCGCTGTTGTACGACAATGCATTTGGATCATTGTTATCAAAATGTCTTATATACTCTAAGATTATAATACATGTTGAAGGATATATCCTCTTCTATTTTATTTGAGATTTTTATCTTTTATCATATCAAACAATGTGTGATTCTCATGATTATGTTAAAAAGGGGGTCATACGATGCGCGCGCATCCTCTTAATTCTGATACCTCGAATTCTTTTTCAACCGGTATTTTGAACAAAAAACGAGTCATGTAAAACAATCAGGATATATTTGAATTTAATTTCTTTTGGAAAGAAGATGTATTTCCTTCTAGTTTAAATTTTTCAAATGCCTTGACACAATACTTCCCCTTCTCGCCAATACTTGGCGCTGAATACGATTTGGATTCTGGATACTGCTTACACCCCGCGTTGAAATGTTACAGAAATTGAGAAAAAGTCGATTAATCTGAAAGATTCTATTTCCTGTAAATAGTTTCATTTTATAATAATATATTTTTCATACAAAGCAAAACGAACAAAGATTGAAAATATATCCATGAAATAGATTCTACAATAAACTCACTTCCAGTTATCTGAAACTTTCAGTTAAATCGACAATTACTCAATTTCTGTAACATTTAAATGTCAAGGCATTTGGAATATTATTACCAGAAGTCAGGACATCTTCTTCGCATAAGAAATTAAATCCAAATCTATTCTGAATATATACATGCTTCGTTTTTGTTCAAAATGCAGGTTGAAAAAGTTTTCGTGGTGTCAGAATTTTGAGGATGTGCGCGCATCGTATGAAACCCTTGTTACATTTAGTAAAACATACTGGGGTACAAGTAATTCAAGTTTCTAAGGTTGTCGACTTCAAATAACTTGCCCCTCACCGTTTTGTGTACGAGTACTGCAGAGTTCTTTGGATTCTTTCACGTGTGACAATTATCAAGATATTAAGCTAGCTTACGGCCCGGCACGTCAGTGGTTCTTAGCAGGGAACAGCTTGTGCGTAGAATTACGTATCACCGGGTACCTGATATCTAAAGCTAAAATTGTATAAGATTGTTATAAGTCTTTGTACAGTATTCTATTGTAATGTTATTGCTTTACGTTGCATATATGTTGAAATTGTACTTAAATTCGAATGGGTTATCTTCTTACTGATTTACTTCCGGTAGTATTTGGCGAATGTTCGTTAAGTGAATGCATGATGAAATCATGACTGCAAGGCAAAATTAACTGATTGCAATGGCGGTCCCGGTAATTAAATTTCAAAATAAATAAATAGATGAAATAGAATAACATATAACTGTCGCGTATAAACAGGTTTCTTTATACAAAATATAAAATAATTAGCGGAACGCGGATTTCGAATCAGACGTATTTTTAGCGCTAATGCACATCCTTTTGTGCTTAACAATATTAAATTCCTAGTCTAGTGGCCTTAACTGTATATTTAGCTTGTTATGAAAACAGCATTAAATATATTTTATGCATCATTACATTAATGTTCCGCTACTAACAAAAGTATTGATAGAAAAACTGATTTAATTTCATGTTTACATACAAAACAGAGAGGCATTCACTGAGAAAGGTATAAAGCATGTTAATTGCAAGGCACTAAACTGAGGACAACACTTTGTAGATTCCAATGTATCATATTTATGTTTACCATGACATCTATTAATATATTTTAATAACAATTTGTATAAGTTTATAATTAAATATATAACTG